TCCATTTATATGAAGTCCATATTATAATTGCGATCCGAAATTTTCCACTTTCACGAGAAATCATTTTAAAATCATCCGCATTGAAGATTGAAACATCGAACGAGGTAAACGTCAAACGCAACTATTAATATTAATTTATCTCGAATCGGTTATATTGTAACACACATTGTAACGTAATCTAATCTAACCTAACCTAACTTAATCAGTTTAAGTTTGCATTAGATAGACATATAATAAGACATACAGTACTTTGAATAATAAAAATAGAGTTATATCCGATACTTTCCATTTATATGAAGTCCATATTATAATTGCGATCCGAAATTTTCCACTTTCACGAGAAATCACTTTAAAATCATCCGCGTCGAAGATTGAAACGTCGAACGAGGCGGTAATCGAGGTAAACGATAAATGCGTGTGTTTCGCGACTATTAATATTAATTTATCCCAATTCGGTTGTAACGTACACAGGATGCGACAAATTATTCCGCGGGACCGTATCGTTCTGCGGCGAAATATTCCGGCGTGCAGAGATTCCATTCATCCTCGAAACACGCGTAATTTTCCGGCGGGGAGGGCCCCTTCTAAATGAAAACGCATCGCTAAATCTCTCCCGGCTTTCAATTTCGCGTTGTAACGCTGTGGCGGAAAGATGGCGCGCAGGTCGATTTTCGTCCAGGCCTGGATCGAATTTTCTAATTATTTTTGACAATTGTGATTAATTCGAAACGTGATAGTTGATGAATTATTTCCCTTGTGCGTGTTATATATGTATATATAGAATATTTAAAAGGTGTATCGAAATAGCGTTTTATTTTTAGCATTGCGCGAAATAAAACTGAAAATTGATTTTTGCCTCGGTTTCGAGTTACGATCTTGTAATTATTTTTGGTTATTTGGTTACACGATTGTGATTAATTTGAAACTCGATAGCTGGTGGTTCTTTTGTTGTGTTATAGAATATTTAGGGTGCGTGTACGTGTATGTTTTTTTTTCTGTGTATTCTGTGCGAAACAAAATTGAAAATTGAATAAATTCTTTTTTCTTTTTCTTTTTCTTTTACCATTATATTTTACACGTATACTTTTTCATCCGACTATTCTCGCGCCGTTTTACAATAAGTGAGTTTTGTAAAAAAGAATTTTTGTCATTATTAATATTAATTCTTTTTTATAGAAAGGAAGAGTTGCAAATTTCAAAATTCATTCCCCGCGAATTAGGATAATTAAAATTAATGTAAACCCACTTGAAAAAAATTTCGTATCTCATATCCAACGCCCATACACTTTATCTCCTTTTCACGGAATACTAACTTCACAACCTCGTTTTCTCTAGGAAATTTTGTACAGGCTGCCTTTCAGAAAAATTTTCCCTCCACTTAAAACTCTACCGTAAAACTCTACGTATTTAACAAAAGAATTTGCTTAAAAGAAACTAAAAGTAAAAACAGCCGTTTTTTGCTAACGAAAGAATACTTAAATTATGTGTGTAAACGTTAGAAAGCTAAATTTTCTAGAAACTACGGTTTCGGATAGCCATAAGATATTAAGTAAATCACAAAGATTATTCAACTTGCAAAGTTTACGTATTCCATAAGAACTTATCCAACTTTTTCTCTCCTTCTTCTTCCTCAAAAAATAATAATCTTAATTTCCTCCTCTACAATTTCTCTCACACGTGTGAACAATAAACTTAACCTTAATTACTTCTTATTTCGTTCACTCGTAGTTAAATATAATTTCTCATCCGACATGCATCCACTCGTCATCGATATTATACGATTCGAAGCCAACACACATTAGGAAAACAAAATTTTGATTACAGAAGGAAATTGAAATCTCTGTGCGAAATGCACGTGACCAAATACAGAAACAAAAGGGAAACAGAGAGAGAATGCTCCCGATGCGTAAAGTGCATCAGGCATACGGATAATAATGGATAATGATGGTCGAACGGCCGATCATCTGGCCCAAAATCGATGATTCGATTGTTTCTCTTATTGCTCGGCCCGGCCATCCGCGTCCTGGTTGCCAAGTGGCTCGATCATGCGGATCAAATTCGTTTTTGCTTGGATTTTGGCCGAGTCTCTACTACCTAAATACATCCTATCCTCTTTCGATTCGAATCGTATTTTTCATCAGATCCTTTCGTCGCTGATTCGATCGAGGAATTTGATAAAACGAAGAAATTGATAGAAAAGAAAAATTTACATCAAATTCAAAACACAAAAATTCTGACGAAGAGAAAAATATATTTTCGTTATATCGCGTCGTTCGTTCGGTTATAATGTAATTTGCAAGGAATGCGATTAATTTAACAGAAATATTGGTCTACTTTTTGGTCTAATCGATCTTAATTGAATAATGAATAATAGTCTGGCAAATTTGGGGTTTGATCGATTTGTTGTCTAATAGATACTTTATTTCGAATTTGACCGTTTAATTCTTCATTATCGGGGAATTCATCGACCGATTTTGAGCACCGATTGAAACCGATTTTAACCATGAGAAATATGAATAATTAAATTTCGCTAATTGCTCGTTCCCTATTTAATTCGTCACCAGTTGTTAATTTGTTATTTTTGGAGTTGGACTATATCTCTATATTAATTATTATTATAATTGCCATTCCGTTTCCTATTTATCCGTTTAACGTCGCGGATTCGTAAACAAATCTATTGCTGAATCTTTTAATTATAAACAATTAACCGTAATATAACGTTCTCGTAATAACAACGTTTATTCGAGTAGAAATGGAAATTTTCATTTACCTGATTTTTCCCTTTGAGAACGAGGACGTTTGTGACACGGCCGAAGGGGATGCCAAGATGGATGATTTCACCCTCCGATACTTCGTTGGGGATGTTTCTGATGTGGATAACCCTCGAAAGTTTGCCGTTGTGGCTCTTGTCGAGTTTAACCTGTGCACAAAGTTTCTATGGTTAGTCGTAAGTTACACGTTGAAAGTTACTCACTTTTATTCAAAACATCGCAAAATATCTCATTAAAGATCTCGAATTATAATTCAAACTCCATTCTGATGCTAAATATTCAAATAATAATTATTCCAAATTGCGACAGTTATTGGAAAATTGCAAAAGAAAAAAGAAAATAAAATTTATTTCCAAGAATAACTCGAAATAAAACATTTTTGAATATCATTAGTACTATCTCTCTCACGACTCAAGGCGATAAACAATACTTGGAGGCGAAACGCGAGGTAAAACACGATATTAGCACCTATCTAAGATAAGGTAACCGAATATATACTTGTCATTACTTATTTCACAAGAGAAACCAATCACACGTAAACCTCATAAAATATTCCCCCTCGTTCATTACCTTCACCCTAGATAAGGTGTTCATCATCAAGAGTGAGAACAATAGTAATGCTTCGAATATATATATACACAAATCTCGCTCACAAATACGACTCCATTCATATTCGTCCCGACAACAGGCGAGGGTTAATTCCTCCCTCGAACGAAACGAGATAAAAAGAGAAACATTTCCTGGACAAGAAACATTTCCATCCCCGATTGCACTCGTTTCCTCGAAGGGAGGGGAGGGGCCTCTTAAAATTCCATCATCCCTCGTTAAAATCGGGGGGAAGGGGGGAAGAGGGCCGCACGCGTGCGGATCACACTTCCGATGCACAAGTAACGAAACTTTTCGCCCGGTTTCGTATAAATTTAAATCGAAATCCCGCCGCAGGCGGAATTTTCAATCACGGCTCAATCTACTCGAGACTCTCTGCTCGCTGCACCATCCCCCTCTCGTCTTCCTCCACCTCCTCCTCCTCCTCCTCCTCTTCTTCCTCTGTTCCCTTCAAGCCTGGTTCCCTTTTATTCGAGGCGAGGTTTCGGGGCTCGAGGTTTAACCGATCGGAAAACGCGCTTCTTACCGAGTTACGGAGGAGGGGGAGGAGGGAGAGACACTTCTACACGCTCTGTAAACCCTTCTTCCAGATATTTTCGTTCGACACGCGTTGGTTAAGGTACCGCATGCTCGTCTTCTTATTTCCTTCTTGTTTGGAAAGTAGTTACAGTGAGAAGGGGGAGGGGGACGAAAATTGTTTCTCGAATTTGGCGCGTGAGACGAGGTTCACGAAATTTATGGGAGGGGAGAAATAAATATCGGGGATCGAAGTTCATGTTTTCTCGGTATTTATCAATTTTTTTAACACGTATGAAATAACCTGTGATAAATTTGCAAAAGATGGAAGGGGACGAGATTTAAGAGAATTGTAAGACAAGAACTGAAGAAAAAAAAAAAAGATACGATAAATACGTGAAATCTAATCGATTTAAACAGGTGGCATCAATTTTTGTAACACGTATGATCTCTGAAATAACCTGTGATAAATTTGCAAAAGATGGAAGGGGACAAGATTTGAGAATATTATAAGACAAGAACTGAAGAAAAAAAAAAAAAAGATACGATAAATACGTGAAATCTAATCGATTTAAACAGGTGGCATCAATTTTTGTAACACGTATGATCTCTGAAATAACCTGTGATAAATTTGCAAAAGATGGAAGGGGACAAGATTTGAGAATATTATAAGACAAGAACTGAAGAAAAAAAAAAAAAAGATACGATAAATACGTGAAATCTAATCGATTTAAACAGGTGGCATCAATTTTTGTAACACGTATGATCTTTGAAATAACTTGTGATAAATTTGCAAAAGAAGGGAACGAGATTTGAAAGTGTTGAATCGAGAGAGCATTATAAGACAAGAACTGAAGAAAAAAAAAAAAAGATACGATAAATACGTGAAATCTAATCGATTTAAACGGTTTAAACAGGTGGCATCAATATTCCAACTACTCTCGAAGACGAGAGTATCGAATGCAAATAAAACGATAACGCGATAGGTACACGAATTATCGTGGTTACACAAGGAATAATGGTGGTACGGATTAAATCTTGCTCTTCGAGAGATTTCTTGCGACGAGATTGCGCGACTTGAATGCGAAGTAATCGGCCGTGCTCGTATAATAGCGTATTATATATTCGTATATTATTCGATAATCGAGCGCGCGCGCGCGCGCACGATGCATAATGAAGGCATCGTTTCGCATAATTCCGTTGCGCAAGATTCGAATCGAACACTTTAATTGCCGCATAAATACGCCCCACTTCTTCCGCTTGTTTATATGCGTATTATACTTCTTTTTTTTTTTTTTTTTTTAATTGCATTCCATCATCGAGCGGAATAAATAAAACGGTATCAATTGTTGATACATTCGATCCAATTCGTAGATAAATGATGAATAAAAAAATTAATTATACATAAGTTGATAGTGGTAGTAAGCATGGTATAATGTAAAAATGATAGTCCTTGTTTTATACATTGTTTCGATACATTGGATATAAATTTTTATAAAAGTAAAAAAAATGTTTAATTTGTATGATGTATGTCTCGTTGTCGAACTTGTTAAGAAGAAATTATTGGGATATTTTTTATCGTGAAATAGACGAATATTTTTTTGCTGATAAACGATCGTTCTTTTTTTTTTTTTTTTTTTTTTTTTTAGAAATCAGGAAAGTTTAGAGAAATTGCATATCGAGATATTTATTTAAAAATTGATCTTCTCCGAGTGACAGTTAATAAATCACGAGGAATACATATTTGTGAGGGATACATGATCAAAATTTGTAGGTGTCCCAGTATTGTAGACGTCGATTTGCCTGTCATCCACGTGCCACATGGAAAAATGCACCTGGCAGATTGAATATCGTTTTCCTATCATTTATCTTCTCCGGATAAATTGACGATTTTGTAAAAAAAAAAATTTGCCAATAATAATTTCACTTATCTCTTATCTGAATATTACTCCCCACTATTAAATATTTTTATCGTTAATTCCTTCCTTTTTTTTTTTTTTTTTTACGAATCGTAGGTAATAATTCAAATTGTACGGAATATTCAAGATTCTAAAAGAATCTTTCTCAACCCTGTATTCCATTCCTGTCGAGAACGTTAAACGTTAATACAACACACAAATCGAAACAAGCGAGAAGAGAGAAGAAAGAAAGAAAGATCAGTTTCGAGTCGAGCATGTAACAACTATCGAATACTCTTCGAGACTTGAGGAGCGGAAGAATTGGGGCGGGATCAAAAGAAATCGAGGGTTTAATTTCAAAGGCTAGCCGAATCCGCCAGGAGCCACTCGAAAAGACTCGAATCTCTTCGGAAAGAAACGGTGGAAAACTCGTCGAGTGGATACTTTTACGTGCTTCGAACTTTCGAACGGACAATAAACGGAGAGTAAATTATATTGTACGAAAATGATACGGATTAAGAAAGAGATTCCATTAATAACACAAATATTTTTCGCTACAGTATATTCTAAATAAAAAATGTCACACATTTTTAACAAATTTCTTCTTCTTAAATAATCTTTAAACGATGAAGAAAAATCTTCGATTTTTACTTCCTTTTTACTTAAATCATCGTTTATCCGATCCAAGTGAATTTAACACCATTAATTAAGCATTTAACGTAAAAATTAAGTTCAGTTTCAAAATATCTTGAATAAAACTGCTCGAGTGAAAATTTTATTTATTCCTCCTAGTCGAGTTAATTACGATCTTTACTCGATACTTTGTATAATAAATTATCCGAGCAACTTATCCAAGTGATTTTTACCCACCTGTTAGCCTAATCCTCGGTCCTGACTCTTCCTAGAGAATTCTAGATCGAGTAAAAAAACGAAAGGAAATTTAATAAAATCATGGGGATGGTGGAGTGCAGCAAAGAGAAAGAAAGTTGGGAAAAAATATCCCGGGACAAAAGTCGAGCGCGAGCAATTCCGAAGAAGAGGCTATCAAATGAGACACTCGAGATGTCGAGGGCGAAACGACGCGTCACGCGAGTGGCTGTCGATCGCAGGGAAGAAGAGGCTTAATTGGCCGGCGTTTCCCTCGCTCTAGCAAAGGTAGCTTAGGCAACGAGAAATGCTGCAAACAAGGTTTGCTTCGAGGATCGTTCAACCGTTCTCCACGACGACCTCGAGGACCAGAACGGTTCGTGCGCCTGGACAACGTGCTGCCTCCAGTGTCTTCGTTTCTTTCCACTTATCTGTACCAAACTCGACCGATAATTTCTTTCATCCTTCTCTCCCCTTTTACTTGCCTTTCTTTTTATCTAGACTTACGAAACTTGTGCGAAATCACGAAATATTTATTATCATTGAGTAAAATCGTTTCTCTATTTCTACAGAGTTTGATAATATTATCACTTTCGAAAAGGAGAAAAAAATTTTTTGTCGAGTTTTTAAATATTCCAAAATTGTTAATTTCTCTTCGTATAATTTTTAAGGAAATTTTCATTTTTTATTGTGCTGTTGCACAAAGGAAGAATCGATTACATAATTTTTCGATTTCGTTTAACGCAATGGAGTGAATTATTAATTATGATATTATAATAATATTTGGAAAATTTATTTACTCGTGATCTTTGTTATAAAGGGTTAACTGGAAGGGTTGATAAAAATACTATTACTTTCACTCTCCCTTCAGTTTCTAGGCAGGCTCGTCTCGTCGAGAATACGTCTTCCTTCATCCGAGCCGATAATTGGACATAATAGAGGCAATTCGCGGAAAATCGCTTGTAGGAAATGGGTACCGTGACCTCCTCCCATCGGCTGATAACGAGGGAGGATGCGCTCCGCCAACCGGAAGTCAACATTCCAATTCCGTTAGAAAATGCCCCGCCACGGAGGACCCTGGTTTTCTACCCGGAGGAAACAAGCGGTGCCATTTTCTTCCCTCTCTTCCCCTTTTCATCGTATTTTACAATCTTTAATATTTTTTCGTTAAATTTCGTAAATAATCGCAAATATTTTTAAAAAAGAACTAAAGTACACAAATTTACCAATTTAATATTATTTTACAAATAACAAAAATTAAC